GGCTGAGCTTTCATAATTAATAATAAATCTCTGTTTTATCATTTAAGGGCTGGCGGTACAGAGAAAGACTTGCTACAGCACATGGCCTACATGGATCTTCACCAGGTCTTCTGTGTATATGGCTGTTAACTTGGTGATTTTGTGGACTCCTAACAGAGGTAGCCAGTGTGTCTGTGACTCTTATGCCTGCTCTTGGGACTCTTTTTTTTTCTTATTGAGTTGCCTTGTCAGGCCTGCATATCAAAGGTTTTGCCTTGTTGTATTATATCTTGTTTTGACATGTTTTGTTGTCTCATGGAGGTCTTTTTTTCTGATGACAAATGAAAGGGAAGTGGATCTGTGGGAGAGGACAGGTAGGAAGGAACTGGAGGAAGGGAAGGGAGGGGAAACTGTAGTCAGGGTATATTGTATGAGAGAAGAATAAGTTTTCAAAAAAGAAAAAAGTAACCTATATGATTAGTAATTCTGGTATCTTGTATAATGTAAGCCCATATTTGCCTTTAATAAGAATACAAATATTATGATGTCCTATGTAGATGGAAAGTAATTTAAATCCCAAGGGATAATTAAATGCAGTTTCTTCTTCAGATGAGAGAGAGAGAAAGCTGACAATGTGTTTTTTCTATGCAATATGCTCAATTATTTCTTTGGTTTTTGTTTTGTTTTTTTGAGACAAGGTTTCTCTGTGTAGTTCTGACTTTTCTGAAATTCACCTTGTAGACCAGGATGGTCTCAAATTCAGAGATCCACCTGCCTCTATTTCCCATGTGCCAGGATTAAAAGCATGTGCCATCACTACCCAGAAATATGCTCAATTATTACATATTATCATTAAAATTTAAAATTTTCTACCACATGTTGCATCAATATTTTAATTTTATACATAAATATTAGAGTAAGAGTAATGACATTCAATTATGAATGACCTACAATTGCCAACCCAGTAAGTAAACAGAACATGGCATATCAAGTTGCAGAAAGACTAAGTGCCCCTCATGTATTAAGGCTGGACAAATGACCCAGTATGAGGAATAGGGTTACAAAAGCCAGGAAAAGAATTTCCTTGAGGGTCTACCATTCTGTGAAGATATCAGAAAGATATTTGGCACAGTACAAGATGACTACTTCCCCTCCATGGCTATCATAAACACAAAACATACCTATCTCAATTTCCAATTCAGGAATACATTTGTGAGCGTCCTCCACAGAGATACCAGCCTTGCATGGCAGACAAGACATGGGGCAATGGGAATATTGGACACCAACCCTGTCCCTAAAGTCCTTCACTTTGGTGAGCTAGCTGGAGAGGTAGACACCCAAAGCAATAGATGGCTAGTGGCCTCAAGGCCAGCCAGAAGGCTTACTGGGAAGAGAGCAGAAAGGGGAACATAAACTTTTCTAGGCTATTCATATCATATATTATTTTTCCTCCTTCATCTGTGACAGATAGTTTTGTTACATACATTACTCTAGATTGGCAGTAGTGGTCTCTTAGGGCTTAGAATACATTGCTACATGCTCTCCTGGCTTTCAAGGTTTCCATTGAGAAATCAGTCATTTTTGTTGTGTTTTTCTTCATATATGATTTGTGTTTTTTTCTGGTAGCTTTCAATACCTGTTTTGTTCTATATACTTAGTTTTTAAACCATGATATGCTGTGAAAAGTTTGTTTTCTGATCTTGTCTTTTTGGTGTTCTGGGTGCTTCTTGTATTATTGGGTAAGTTTTCTTCTATGATTTTGCTGAAGATCTGATCTATGCCACTGATCTATGAATATTCCCCCTCGTCTATTCCTATAATTCAAAGGTCTAATCTTTTCATGAGGTCTCACATTCCCTGCATGTTCAGCTCATGTGTTTTTAAATTTTTCATATTCCTTGCTTACTTTGTCTTGATCTTCTACTGTATCCTTGTGTCCTGTCACTCTATTTTCTGCTTTATTCATCTGCTTCTTAGGCTTTCTCTTGAGTTTTTTACTTGGGTTATTGGGTTTTTCAAATCTATCTTCATTTTATCTTGATTCCTCTTCAGTGTTTCTATCTCCTGATTGAATTACAATTTCAAACCCCTAATTGTATTCATCATTCATCACCAGGCTTCTGCTTGAATTTTCATGGGCATCACTCTGGCATTGGTTTTTTTTTTTTAATCAATTCTTCTTTAAGTTCATGGAGCATCTTATTTTTGTCTTTTTTAAACTTGAATTTTTTGTTGATGTATTTTGTGTATACAAGTGCTTTGTCTATGTGAACACCTACATACCAAAAAAGGGAATCAGATCCCATTATAGATGGTTGTGAGCCACTGTGTAGCTTCTGGTGATTGAACTCAGGATCTCTAGAAAAGCAGAACAGTCAGTGCTCTTAACCACAGAGTCATCTTTCCCGCCTCTTCTTAATTTTTTTATGAAATACAAAAGTCTTCTTTTAAATTCTGTGTCCTGGGGTTCATCTTAGGTAATCCTCTTTGGCAAACAGTTCTATAGGACTGGTGGATTTTGTAGAGGAAATACTGCCTTTATCTTTCTTATTGTTTGTATTTTTGCAGTATGATCTGAGCATGTTGACTTCTTTTATTAGTTCTACATCTGATATGGACAGGGCAGGTTTGGATTGAATACAGGATATGTGGGGGTAGGGTGGGCCTAAAGGTTGGAAATGACTTAGATGGAAACATAAAGATCAGCCTATGTAAGCCTGGCAATGGTGGCGCATGCCTTTAATCCCAGCACTTGGGAGACAGAGCCAGGCAGATCTCTGTGAGTTCAAGGCCAGCCTGGGCTAAAGAGTGAGTTCCAGGAAAGGCACCAAAGCTACACAGAGAAACCCTGTCTCAAAAAACCAAAAAAAAACCAAAACAATCAGCTGATGTGAAGAAAATGTGTCCTTGTCCAAGTTTGTTGTGAGGGGTAGATCTGGTGTTGGGGAGTATATGCAGAGGATGATCAGGCTGAATTACCCTGTTCAACATCGGAGGAAGATACACAGGATATGGTTGAACATGGAGGTTGGAAATTGGCTCAAGAGGCTTATAGGTTGAGGGCAGGTGAAGGGTGTGTTTTGGCCAGTGCCTGAAACTTTGGATTCACATATAAGGAGTGTCTCTACTAAATCAGGGAACAGAGTTTCGGAAGTGTGCAGACATAACCAGCTTTCATATGGATGCTGGGAATCTGAACTCAGGTCTTCATTCTTGTGCCATAAGTGCTTTCAGCTGCTGAAATGTCTACATAGTTCAGTAATAAACATAAAAGAATTCATGAAAGTTAAGAATATAATGTTATATGAAAATGGGTATATTAACCCATGATAACTATGACAAAATTTATGATTTTTACATGTATATATATGTAAATATACATGTGATGTAAAAGGAATAGAAAGGGTAAACAATGTGAAAGCCAGTCAAAAAGAACCACATATGCATAATAAAACACAGATATAAAGATCAGAGACAAAATGAGGAATATAGTTGAGGCACACAAAATATTCAGGAGGGTTGTTTTATATTAAAGGAAATATGTTATGCAGCTGAAGAGGCTCACTACCAGTAAATGAATAATTTTACAATGAATTTTTTTGCTACAAAGTGTGGAGAAAACTATATTTTAAGATATCATGGGGGAATCCATATTACAAATGATGGGTCAAGATTCAGTAGGTTATCTAATTCCCCCAAATCAACACAACACATTATAACTCATTTAAAAATGCCTGAAGACAATTTCTCATAAAATTTGGAATCAATATACCTCAAGACCCAGCTATACCACTCTTGGGCATATACCCAAGGAATGCTCAATCATTCTACAAGGACACATGCTCAACTACACTCATAACAGCATTATTCATATTAGCCAGAACCTGGAAACAACCTAGATGCCCCTCAACTGAAGAATGATAAAGAAAATGTGGTACATATACACAATGGAGTACTATTCAGCAGAGAAAAACAATGACATCATGAAATTTGCTGGCAAATAGATATAACTAGAAAATAACATCCTGAGTGAGGTAATCCAGACTCAGAAGGACAAATATGGTCTGTACTCACTCATAAGTGGATACTACATTTAAAGCAAAGGATAATTAGAAAACAACCCACAACTCCAGAGAAGCTAACTAATAAGGAAGACCCAAAGAGGGATACATGGATCACCCTGGGAAGGGGAAATAGATGGTATCTCCTTGAATAAAATGGGGATGAGGAGTGAGCAATGGAGTATGGGGATAGGGGATGAGAACATAAGGGAATGGGATGGTTGAACTGAAACAGGGATGGAGGGGGAAAGCAATGAAAAAGATAACATGATAGAGAGAGGTATCATGGGGATGAAGAGAAACCCGGGGCTAGGGAAATTGCCAGGAATTCCCAAGGATGATCCTAGCTTGGGCTACTAGAAATAGTGGAGAGTTTGCCTGAACTGAATTGGCTTACCACAGTGATCAGACTGGTGAATACCCTAACTGTCATCACAGAGCTTTTCTCCAATGACTGGTGGAGGCAGATGCAGAGATCCACAGCCAACCACTAGACAGAGCTCTAGGAGTCAAGTCAAAGAGAGAGAAGAGGATTCTGTGAGCAAGTGCATCAAGATCATAATGGGGAAACCTGCAGAGATGACCAAACCAAACTAGAGGGAACCCATGAAAGTTAGGTCAATGGCTGTGGAGCCTACATGGCACTGAACTAGGCCCTCTGCATAGTGAGACAGTTGTGTAGCTTGGTCTGCTTTGGGGGGGCCACTGGCGGTAGGATCAGAATCCATCCCTGGTGCATGAAGGGGCTTTTTGGAGCCCACTACCTATGGTGGGACACCTCCTGCAGCTTTGAGGCAGGGGGAAGGGCTTGGACTTGCCTCTACTAAATGTGCTTTACCATAGGAGGCCTTGCCTTCTTGTGGGAGGAAGTGGAGGGTGGTTTGGGAGGAGGGGGCTGGTGGGGTTGGGAGGAGGGAAGAGAGGGGATCTTTGATTGGTGTGTAAAATGAATGAAAAAATTTTCTTAATAAAAAAATAAAAAATGCCTGAAGAATAGCAAAATAAATTATTTGCACTCTAGAAATATATGCTCAGCAAACTTCAAGATAAATAATAAAAACAATGTCAAGAAAATCACTTCTTTAATTGCTAATTTTTTTAAGAGACAGAACTAATATGATAGGTAGGTAGAAGCATGGATTGATAGACAGACATAGGAAAGAGAGACAAAATACATAGATATATGAGAGAGATAATAGATAGACATATAGATGGTAGAAAGAAGAGAGATAATTTATCAAAGCAATTGGTTCACCTGATCTTAGAACTGAGAATTTCCTCTGTAATCTGACTTCAATAGGAATACTCAGGAAAACAGACGGCATGTCTGAATCCAAGTTTAAAGACCTGAGAATAGTGGAGTAAAGTGTGTAGTGTGTAGCATATCTTTACTTACTAGAAAAATACATAACTTTATAGAATAGAAATTTTAGCTCATTTTTAAAGAGCCACATTTTGTACCACACGAATCTGTATATAGATTGAATACCATCTCTGAATATATTCTTATGCACTAATGTATGTGCAAACATATCTCTGTACTAGGCCTCAAGGTAAGAACTTAGCAATGCCATACAAAGTAGCTCCTTTGAGACTTAAGACAGAAGGAGATAAGTAGTAATGCTACTTGTCATTTGATTATTTGTAATACAGTGGGAAGGGAATGTAGCATCTAGAAATCATGGAAATGTGATTTTTCCTGGGACCAAAATTCTTTTGGGAAGAGAAGGGACACATATAGAGCATATGGTTAGCAATAGAAAATCAAAATGCATGCTCAGGTCTAACCTGAGAACATCAAGTCAAAAGCATGTTTAAAATTTTACCTTTTTGTTGACAATAGCAGCAAAGTAGGGCATGACCTGACCCTGCATGTGTATTCCTCCCTGTGACTTGTCCTCTACAGGGTAGAGCTATTCCTGGACACTGTTTATTTGTTTCAAACACAAATACTTCCAGTGACTCTAAGTGATGCTCGGCCAAAGAGCTTTGGTACCGCCTTCCTCTTCACATTCTATTTTACATGTATATATGTGGGTGTGTAAATGTGTGTACATAATCCACTGCATGTATGTGAGAGAATGTATGTACATATACATACACATATGTGGAAGTCAGAGGTGAACCTTGGGCATTGTTTCTCAGGAGATGACAAGCTTGTTTTCTGAGATAGTGTATCCCACTAGGACACAAGTCTCACTAATTAGGCTGGGTTGGGTTTCCAGCAAGCTCCCAGGATCTCTTGTTCTATCTTCTCAGTGTTGGTATAACAAGCACACACCACAATGCCTGATCATTATATATATGCCACAGACTGGATATAGATCTTCAGGTTTATATGGCAGGTAATTTATTGAATGAAATATCTCTCTAACACCCTAGCTTGAATTCTCTATGCTGCATGATATGTAGCATGACAAGTAGCACTACTACTTATCTCCTTCTGTCTTAAGTCTCAAAGGAGCTACTTTGTATGGCATTGCTAAGTTCTTACCTTGAGGCCTAGTACAGAGATATGTTTGCACATACATTAGTGCATAAGAATATATTCAGAGATGGTATCATGGTAGCGTGGTGTGTTGGGAACTCTGTTTTCATTTTTTACATGAATTGTAAGCAAGTCTAATAACAGGTATGCAAATCAAATATATTTATTATTGAAAACATGCAGAAGAAAAATGACCATGAATTATCTTACTATATTAGTTATTTTACAGGGAAGTTCCTTTTTAACTCAAGACCAGATACACATTAGCACAAGGGATAATAACACTGTTGCAGAGAAATAGAAAATAGCAATATATTTGTGCAGTGACTCCAGAAATTGCAAAATGGTTGAAAGGCGTTTCCTGGGTCTTGATAGAATGGGAATACATGAAATGGAAGGAAAGACTCCTTGTCCCTGATCAGAAGGAGGTGGATGAAGGTCTAGAGGTGATTTCAGAAAACAACACAGCCTGGACCAGAAAGTCTGATCTTCTTTAGACAGGAATGAAGCAGATCTTGTAAGGGGGTGGCAGAGAGGTTAATCCATTGGCCACTGGGGTAATATTGATGTCCTTAGTGTGGAGCAATGATTTCAGCTTAAAGTTCTGTAAAATGGTTGTCAGGAACAGAAACAGCTCCATGCGTGCCAGGCCCTCTCCTACACAAATCCGTTTTCCTAGGGGGGAAAAAGTCAAAGAAGATTACTATTCTCATTCGTAAATGTGAGGATCACTGTGCTTGTACCTGACACAGGAGACTATGAATGAAGGGTAAGTCATTGGATGGGTGTGTAGATGGATGGATGCATGAAAGGACAACTAATTAGGCAAAAATTAGCTGTGGTTATTCACATCTGTAATCAGACTGCCTAGGAGACTGAGGAAGAGGGATTCTGTGTTCATTATCACAAATAACAAAACCAGGGACAGAAACTGCATATCCAAAGGCAGCATACATACTGCAGGTGTGAACTCAATATTCATTGTTCTCATCATGAATGAGAAGGAACAGTGTTTCCGATCATCTTTGCAGAATATCCTGCCATACCTATAGTGTTTCCATCATCTCATGATGATCTTGAAGTTCCTGGAATTCTGAACTGCGTAAAAATGCTCTTATCTAATGGTTCATGAACTTCCTTTAAGGATACATGATTTCTTCTAATTCTCCATTACCAATGCCTTTTGAGGCAGCTAGGAAGTCATTTATCAGAATGTTGCTCCATTTTTGCCTTAATATATAAAGTTTGAGAGTGGTATTTTTTTACCCAAATAACTTAGAGATCTGGTGGTCTTTCTCATTGCTCTAGTCCAACTGAAATATGACAAGTATTTTTCATTCATGTGTTTACCAAGTGCACTTGAGGTTCTTTGGTAATTTTCTGTGTATTTGGAGACTTGTAATTGCATACTTGAGCATGGAGGTGAGTGACACAGCCAAAAAAGACCTGAATGTAAATTATGATGTCTCCATTTTCATGGTGAGTGAAGTGTAAATGAAGTTTGCTTTCTTTGGTACTTCTGTGATATAGCTAAAGGAAGATTACACACATGCTACTCTTCAGCTTTTTCAGTTTTGAACAAAGGATGAACAATCAAAGCCTCAGTGTCATAGCCTGACAGGGAAGAAATCTCTTTATCACAACAGTGCATGGACACTGAGAGTCATACTCCTGATCATTACAAGTCTACTGGCTATTAAGGTGCCACTTGTAGTTGGAAGGTTTCCTGTGTCCTACCTGGTCCCAAAGTTGCTCAGACCCAAATAAACACACAGAGGCTTATATTATTTTCAAACTATGGCCATAGCAGACTGCTTGCTAGCTAGCTCTTATATCTTAAATTAACCCATAATTATTATCTATGGTTAGCCATGTGGTTTGGTCCCTTTTCTCAGTTCTGCCTTGTCATCTTGCTTCCTCTGTGTGTAGCTAGAGACTTTTGACTCAGCTTCCCTCTTCCCAGAATTCTCCTTGTCTGCTTATACTTCCTGCCTTGCTACTGGCTAATCAGCATTTTATTTATCAACCAATCAGAGAAACACACATTCACAGCATACAGAAAGACATTCCACAGCAGCCACTGTGTAAGTCTCCACAGATTCTCATGTCACTAGAGCCATGGAAATGAGCTTCTATTACCTGCTGAGAAAGGCATGAAGTAGTCACTTTTCTTAAAGTTTCCATTCTTATCTAGAAAGTGTCCAGGGTCAAATACCTCTGGGTTGGGGAATTCCTTGCTGTCATGCAGCACTGATGACAGTGATGTTATTACCATTGTTCCCTATAACAACACACAGAGAGAAATCAAGTTACACAGAAATCATAGAGCTAAAACACATTAATAACCTAGTTCACCCTCTGCTCCATAGTGAAGTTTAAGTACAAAGATCAGCGGGGATATTTCAACACACAGAGAATGTAATCAGCAGGGAGGAGGTCAAGGCAAGGCACAGTGGTGTGGTTAAAGTGCCATCCAGTGAGATTTCACATGAGTACTGGACTAAACCTTCCTAGTCTCTCCTTCCTTTCCTTCAGATTGGACTTATGCGTCTCTTTCCACCGGCTGCTCTAGCTTATCATATCTATCTACATACTCCTCATGTGAATCAGGTTCCAGATGGAATAACTCATTGAGTTTTTTATAGAATGGAAGACCGTTCATAGAGTACAATAGGGAAGACATGGAAAGACAAATGCCACTCCTTTTTTTAATTTACAGAATCTGTCTATCTCTGTATTTGTATAAGGAGGTAAATGCAGAGCTGTGTGCCAGAGTAGAGGTGTGCAGTCTTGTATGTAATCAATCTGTCTATATGAATGCACAGACACAAAAACAGAAATATATACATGTATATTTGTCAGAAAAGTAGGGTAAGGACTCTTTGGGAGAAGGAAAGGAAGGAATGAAATGGGGAGGAGAGGGTAAAAAGTAAAATTTAACAATATAAGATGAGGGTAAGATGATCTGATGGCAGCTAAATCAACAAATCTTCTGAAGATACACAGAAACTGCTGGGAGCTGGTGCTGGCAAGTTCTCTTTAACTAGTACACAATCTAACCTCATATCCTTTCAAAGTTTTTAGGAATGTGCTTTACAAAGCTCTTACAAGGATGGCCCACATATTATAATGTAGCTTAAGTAAATATGTTTAAAGTTTTAAAGCTAAGAAGAATATTATTGACATGTAAATTGTATGAAAATTAAGAGTTAGTGTTAATAGGTATTGAACATATTATATTCATAACCAAGTGTTTACACGCTGCTCATGACTGCTTCTCTGCTATAATGACAGAGTTTCTGAAGGGACAACACAATCCCCTTGGCCCAGAAAGTCTTAAATCTACCAGAATAATAATGGCAATATCATTGGTTCCTTCTTATCCTATCAGTGACTCCAGTCTGCTCAAAGAAATCACTTATCCTTGCTGTGGGATGTTCTATATACTGTGAATGTGTTGCTCTGATTGATTAATAAATAAAGTCTTGATTGGCCAGTAGCCAGGCAGGAAGTATAGGTGGGACAAAGAGAGAGGAGAAGGCTGGGAAGTGGAAAGCTGAGTCAGGAGATGCTGCCAGCCACCACTATGAAAAGCATGATGTAAGATACTGGTAAGCCTTGAGCCGTGTGGCAAGGTATAGATTTATAGAAATGGGTTAATTTAAGATGTAAGAACCAGATAGCATGAAGCCTGCCACAGCCATACAGTTTATAAGTAATGTCAGTCTCTTTGTATTTGCTTGGGTCCAAGAGGCTACAGCACTGGAGGGGGGGAAAAATTTGCCCCAGCCATGGGCCAGGCAGGACCAGGAATACGCCAGCTACAAATGGTGCCCAATGGCTCAAGGTTCCACCTGAAACCTGAAAATACTTAATAACCAATTCTAAAAGGAGCTAGAAACATGTTCATGTGGATGGTGAGATGATGTAACATGAGGGTGTCAGCTACTCTATGGTGGGTTCATGGCATGTGGGCTTGACCTATTCCCACCAAGTTACACAGAGGTTTCTGTAAGCCATGCAACATGGTGTGTTGTGGATTTAGCCTTTGCTGGTACAAAAAAAAGAAAGAAAGAAACAAACAAAAAGGAGTTTCTGGGCTACACGCCACTTTGATAGAAGCATTGCAGTCTTACAAATGCTGCAGTTTAAAACAATAGATTCACAATAAGACAGATTCAAATGGGATAAACCTCTAAACAGTTTACAATGTGTGTAAAAATGTACATAGGCTTGGAAGAGAAAAGAAAAGTAATATAGACAGTTATATTAAATAAATAGAAAGTTTTAGAAAATAAAGTCTTTAAAGAGAAAGTAAAAGTAATATGAAAAGAAAGTTTTAGAAAAATAAAGTCTTTAAAGAGAAAGTAAAAGTAATATGAAAAATAAGCCATGTAAAGATGGATATTACACAGAGAATCTGGACTGTGTTGTCTTTGATATTTTTAACTGCAGAAAGACATTTGATTGTAAAAACTGTTGAGTTAAGCCAATATGTATATTTTAAAGATATCTTGCCTTAAAAATTTGGATCTAAAGATATGTTGCCTTGGAAAGGAGGCTCTGCTTTTGTTTCCACAGAAAGCAAGAGGCTACAGATTTGTTCCAGATTAATATACATCAGTGTTGACCAGCCAAGACCCCTTGAAAGGTCTCCAGTGACACCATGGCCCAGATGATCCAACATCCAGAATGGTTTCAAGGCATCTGGCTCAGACTATACAGCCTCATGGACTACTCCATAATCCTAAAATTTTCTTTATGTCCCCATAAGAATACAGTACCCTCATCCAGCAGGAAGTAGTATGAGAAGCTATGCCCAAATTCCCAAATATACCAAGCTGGCTTTGGAGATGGAATTGGCTCACTCCTTCTCTAAACCCAAGCATATTACTAAAACAAAAGGTTGAGAGAGTCTTCTGTCCCATATCAGAAAAGCCCTCTGATGTGTGACAGAGAAAAATCAATGTTTTTATTTAAAACAGGTTAATTATAAATACAATATCTTTCTAAAAGAAGAAAGGGGGATATGATATAGATATGATAGGATGAAAGGGTAGATTATTGAATCTACTTTTTTTTTTTTTTTTTGGTTTTTCAAGACAGGGTTTCTCTGTGCAGCTTTGCGCCTTTCCTGGGACTCACTTGGTAGCCCAGGCTGGCCTCGAACTCACAGAGATCCGCCTGGCTCTGCCTCCCGAGTGCTGGGATTAAAGGCGTGCGCCACCACCGCCCGGCTTGAATCTACTTTTAAAGAGCAACTTTAAAGTGTTTAAAATGTTTTACATTGCTATAGACTTTATTGATAGAAGTTTAAACTTAATTTTGTTATACTGTATTTCTACTCTCATTTGAGGTACTATGTTTATGTAACTCATTTAGATTGTAATGAACAATTAAGAAATACAGATTAATAATTAGGCTTCTATAATAGTCAAACTTATAGTCATGTTAAGTTTTCTAGGTATACATAGATATAATTCAATTAAGTAGGTAATCTTCCAACACTTCAAAGACCAACAGAATATGGCATTTAAAATGTTTTAAAAATTTAGACTTTCTGGACAGTGAGATATGTCTGCTCCTGGCAGCACTGATTTACTTCAGAAAGGAGGATGGGCATCAAAGACACTCTATATGGAGTTTTTCTTCTTGGCAAAAAATAGCCATTTGGGCAAGAAACTGTTCTTGCCTGGACTGCTTGAAAAAAACGTATCAACTGGACATGCAGGACCCATAGGAAGGTGACCACTGAACTTTGCTTGGTGAAATGGTTCTTCAGGTTCCTGCTTTGCAGAGGAAACTGCCAAACATTCTACAGGACACAGAGAGAAGTGATTGAGAGACTGTAGGCCTGTGGGCTAAAGATAGATGCCCCGACTTTACAAAGGAACTTTGGATGACTGTCCAGGCTGCCAGCTATCTCTGTTTACTCTCACAAGAGTCTTGAAAGTTGCTTGTGTCCTCCCATTTCTTAGGTAATATTATATCCTTCTGAGGTCTTTGATGTAGTTGAAGACTAGATAGTTATAATTTCCTTAGTTAAGATAAAAGATAAGTTAGATATGAAACCTTAGACTCACAAATATAGGATAGATAGGATATCTTCTTTAATTTTGCCAAATACAAATAGACAAGATATTATAAATAGATTAGATATTATAACTGTAATTCTTGCTTGATAGTTGTTTTATTATATGTAATTTTACTATGTTAAAGTTAAAACCTTCCTTTTTGAAAAAAGAAAAGGGGAAGTGCTGTGGATGATTGATTGATAAATAAAATGCTGATTGGCCAGTAGCCAGGCAGGAAGTATAGGTGGGACAAAGAAGGAGGAGAACTGTGGGAAGTGGAAGGCTGAGGCAGGGAGATGCTGCTAGCTGCTGTGATGAGAAGCAACATGTAAAGATACTGGTAAGCCACGAGCCACGTGGCAACTTATAGATGAATAGAAATGGGTGTTGTGTTCTTAAAATTACTTCCTGCTGTCTGGGGTGAAGGCATGTTTTGGCAATCCTGAAAAAAATGTTTTTGGGTTAGTAGCCAAGTCCTGGAAGAGTTAGCTGTATCATTTGTCTAGTCTCTGCATAATGGGAAAGTGCAGGGCTTGTCTCAAGCCCTTGCTTATGTAGTCTTTGAGGCTGGTTCATCTCAGCTAGCCATCTCAAAATTGTGTTGAAGAGTTTGTAGCCCAAAGAAGATCACTGAGTGGTGTTTGTCAGCGTGGTGATATCATCATTCTGATGAAATCGTCATTCCAGGGATCTCAGCTAGCCATCTTGAAATTGTCCTGAGCAGTTTGTAGTCCAAAGCTGATCTTCAGGTGGTGTTTACACTGTGTTTTGGAGCAATACCAATTGTATCTGTGGCAAAATCGTGTCTCACAGTCAGTCCCAAGTTTGCAATACAACAGGTTCCATTCCTCTTCATCAAGATATTCTTTGATTTCCAATATCTGTGAGCAATAGCTGGCTTTCCTTGGGTACTAATAATCTGCATGTGAAGATGGGCAAGACTGCTTGCTGTCGAAAGAGTGAGTTTGATCATCCCTTGCATCGTAACTGTGTATTTATTCAAGCAATCAAAAACGGTTCTATGCTCATGGTAATCCAACATCAGCCACAGCTGAGTCCATGTGCTATTGTCTTTGTTATCTGCTGCTATAAAGCCTAGGATGTTTTTGTGGTGTGACATCACAGTCTGATAAATCTCTGCCTCTCAGAAACACAGATGCTCTTCCCTAGAAGAGAATATCTTCACAGCAATTTCTTCTCCCTGCCACTTGCTTCACCAAGCTTCTTCAAACCGACCTTTGCCAATGCTTTCTTATAATGCAATGGTCCTGGAGATTGTTCTCTGAGCAAGCAGAGGTAAACTTTTCATCCCCAGTAGCAGCATCACTGCTGCCACCAACACAATGAGAAGCAGCCGGCAATGCAGAGCAGCAGCTGGAGCCTCCATGGTTCTGTTGCCACTGTTTGTGGCCCAGCCTGGTCCCAGCTGCAGCTACTCCTCAGAAAACCTCCCAAGCTGGCCTCGAACTTGGCATCCTCCTACCTCCACCTCCTTCAGCAAATCCTACCTGAGTGTACCACCACAACCAGCTGCGTGCAGCTTGGGCCTGAGTTAAGGAATACAAGGCCACAGGCAAGTGGCTTTTTAGTGAATTTGTGCCACAAAGCAATGTGAGATAGAGAAAATACAATGTACATATGTATTTATAACATATATAGTCAGTGATCAAAGGGTAAACAATATATAGAACCATAAAATGGGTGCAGAGAACAATCTTGAAAATAATGTACAGATTTTGTGAATAAAAGTCATCTCAAAGTAAAATTCTGTGTTCCTGGGTCATGTTCACACATGTTGGCTCCACAATAAAGTATCTCTTATATCATTACAAGAATCAGGCCAAAAATTTTCATCCCAGCTACACAACTATCAGTGTATTCCAAAAACATCAAACTTGATAGGGAGATACTAAAGTTACAATCCTTCATTTTAATCAGCAATGAGATAAGTGATGCCCATTGCACCTGGGTCTGTTCATCATTATACTGCAATTCATGAAAATGAAGAGAAACTATGACCACAGGAATATGAAGAGTACATAGAAAAGTATTATCCCACATAACAACTTCAAATTCCACATATATTTAAAGATACCTCATTAGAAATGATAAAATTCACATGTCTAGATAAAAATAAGACCAATGAAACAATTACATCAACTGTTTCCATTAAGCAGTTGGAAAGAAAGGCAGAGGCACTAGAGAAATAATAACAAAGATATTCACCCAGATATATCTGTACCTGCAGAAGATTTGCCCTCCAGATCGTGAAGCAGTATAAGCCACCAGCAGCACCAGGTGACACAGAGGACTGGAACTGCACTGAGAACCTGGGGGCATCAGGAGCACAGAGGTGCAGCAGAGAAGAGACAAGCTTACCTTGGGGATGAGGTAGTTCCTGAACTTAGTGTCACAGGTCACCGCATGGGGCAGGTTGGTAGGAAGGATGTCGATGAATCTCTGAACCTCATGAATCATGGCATCTGTGTAGGGCATGTGGCTCCTGTCCTGCATGCAGGGGCTGCGGTGTCTGCCAACCACATGATTAATCTCTTCCTGGACTTTAGCTGGTTGGTCACAGTGAGAAATATAGGAATAGGAGAAAAGTGATATGTTTGAACTAATGGTAGGTCATACACAGCATAATGTAAGTGGTCCAAAAGAATTATAAATGTGTATTTTTTTATTCAGGAATAAAAGTATTTATACATATATTTATAAAGAAATGGTGTGTTGTGGATTCATACCATTATCCTATATTGATATTATAAATCAATATAGACTTATTATTTAGTAGACATAACAGCATATAAGATATAAATAATTAAAAGAATCAAATAAAACAGAATATAATTAGTCAACATGCCTGTGGTAAAGAACATTAGAAGTCAGACGCTAAATCTGTAATCCAAATACAATATCCTTTAAACTCACATTCTAATGTATGTGTATTTATGAATATGTGTGTTGCATGTGTACAATTTGAAAGATTCTTCTTTTTTGTTCCTACACCCAGTAATGAACAAGTTCAACCTCTTTAGCTATTTTTGAAATATATTCATATTTAAAAAATGACAGTTTCTTATAAGCCCCCATACGCATAACATTTATGACTTTCCCATGTCGGAGATGAAAATTCAGTTACATCTACATCATCTACATAAACAAATACATACTAAACACATACACACACACACATGCACACTCCCCCTTCCCCCTCACTTCATTAACAATAGCATATTGGAACTTCATGGAACTGAAAAGCTTCTGCATGGCAAAAGACACTATCATTAGGACAAAACAAAAGGCTACAGAATGGAAAAGACTTTTACCAATTACATATCCAATAGAGGGATAAGATCCAAAACATACAAATAATTCAAAAAATGGGATATCAAGAAAACAAATAACCCAAGTAATAAATGGGGTACAGATCTAAGCAGAGAATTCTCAAAAGATTAAGCTCAAATTGCTGAGAAAAATTTAAAAAAACTTAGAAAAATGTTCAAAAACCTTAGTCATCAGGGAAATGCAAATCAAAACTACTTTGAGATTTCATTCTACACCCCTTAGAATGGTGAGGATCAGTTTTTTAAAAAATGACAGCTCATGCTGAAAAGAAGTGATGCAAGAAACCACTTATGCATTGTTGGTGGGAGTGCAAACCTGTACAGCCACTATGGATATCAGTGTGACAGTGCATCAGGAAGAAGAGAATCTACCTCAAGATACAGCTGCACCACTCTTGGGCTTACACCTAACAGTTGCTTCATCCTATCACAGAAACACTTGCTCAACAATGTTCATTGCTGCTTTATTCATAATAGCCGAAATTGGAAACAAAGTAGATGTCCCTAAACAGGAGAATAGACTTTTTTAAATGGGGTACATTTTTACATTGGAGTGTTACTCCGCCATTAAAAAAAAATCATAAAATTCTCAGTAAATGGATGGGACTAGAAAAAAAATCACCCTGAATGATGTAATCCAGACTCAGAAAGACAAATATGGTATGTATTCACTTATATGGGAATATTATCTGGTAGATCAATGAAAACCAAGCTACAATCTGTAGAACAACAGAGGTTAGATGTAAAGTAAGGGACTATGGAGAACAGATAGATCTTGTTAGGAAAAGGAGATAGAATAGATAGTTATGAACATATTGGGGTGACTCTTGAGTGGAAAGTGGAGACAGAGACAAGGGAGGGATTCATCAGAATGAGGAAAGGAAACTGAAAGGTTTTAGCTGGTGTGAAGACATGACTTTTAAGAATAAAATAACATGTTTCCACAGGACAATATATCCTGGCCATGCCTGTTGGAGTTTACATTCCAGATCACTCACACACTGACCATAATTTGATTGCTTTTCCTACAATCAGAGTCTGTTTCTCTTAGTCATAGTCTTCTTTACAGCCAGTGAATAGCACAGAAGGTGAAGGACTGAGACTTCTCTAAGATTAACACACAGGACACTAGCAGAGACTTCCAGCATCTTATAGGAATGCTGTGCATCACTATCTGAGTCCTCACCTGTGACATGTGGGTGCTTCAGCAGGAGCAGGAGAGCATATCTCAGCGTTGTGCTTGTTGTCTCTGTCCCAGCAGCAAACAGATTACTCACAGTTGTTACCAGATGTTCAAGTGTATATTCTGATTGTTGATTGTGGTTTTCCTAAGAATAATTTGATGCAATAATCTGATAAATTCTTTATCAGCACATCTGATTACAATGGCTCTACAATTTTACACAAGTTTATATATTTGTTATTGAAAGTGTAAAATTTAAAGTAAAATTCTGTAGCTCCCATTCCTTATGGTTGTTCTATCTATATAGAAATTTACTGAGCTACATAGACTTGGGGTCTAGTTAACTTGACATGAAGATTTATTTATTTGCAATTATTTTATATTAAGACTTCTACAAAATGTTTGTTTTATGTTGTTGCCAACAAAAATCCTGGAATGTAGAGTTGAGGAGAAATTAACATACAATTTAAAAGACGATGGCACAGATTTTTATAATTTTTGATTTCACCCTAATTCCTTACAAGCCTAACTTTTGTATTGATGTGATTATCTGTACATAAGTGTGTACAGTTTTGTACCTTTATGCCCTAAAAACATAAATAAAACATTTTATTCATTAATTATTTTCTCCCATCAAAATCATTTGAAGAGGAATTGTGGTAGACCGAATTTTCGGATATATAGATTTATACATAAAAATGAAGGCCCATGTCTCTATATGGTGAAGGACAGTGGAGGACATTTGACTCTGTGTCTGGGAATTCTCTATTAAACTAAGATGGGTCTGTAATGAGATCCTTTGTACTTGAGTTAAATAAATCCATTCTTTTTTAGCACACTAATAACTAGATTTCCTCTTACTTTTAAAAACTAACAATCTTTGCAGTGTATCCCACATTTCTTATCCATCCATCCATCCATTGATGACTTCTAGACTGATTTCCTCATTGATTTGAGAAATACAGTAGGAAACAAACATGAAGGTGCAGGTGCCTTTTCCATATGCTGATATTCTTTGGATGTAAGCTCAGAAGTAAAGTACTTGGGTCCCATTATAGACAGAGAGAGATAGTTAGAGGACGCCTGACATTTTTTTCCACAATGGCTGTAATAATCAACACTCTCATCAACATTATATTTAGTGTCCTTCTCATTCCATTATCACCAGCAGTTTTTTTCTTTGAAAAGTTTCTGCAATTACTACTGTAGTGTCAAATCTCATTGTGATATTATTTGTCCTTCAAGTTGGAAAATGGCATCCATAATTTTATTGGTTATTTGAATGTATTCTTTGAAGGATCGTATCTAAAACTATGGTGGAACTTAAAATGAATAACAAAAAGATGTGAAAATGGCACAGTGTAAAATACTTTAAAGACTACAAACTATGAATAAGTGGTAATTGCCCCCAAATTCTATGGTTACTGAAAAAAAATCAGTCACCATACTCTTACTCTGTGGTGATATATTATGTACTCTAATAAAGTTTGCCTGATGATCAGAGGACTGAGCCAGCCACTGGATTAGAAACAGAGCCAGGCAGAGGTAGTACACACCTTTAATACTATCACTTGAAATCTCATGCCTTTGCTTGGGAAGCACACACACCTTTAATCCCAGGAAGCAATATGGCAGGCCAGAGAAAAGTATATAAGGTGTGAAGAAGCAGGAACTCCTTCTCTTTAGACAGGATTTCGTAGAGGTAAGAACTAGTGACTGGTTGTTTAGCTTTTCTTTATTTCAGCTTACACCCTGATATCTGGCTTTGGGTTTTTTATTAAAAGAACATCTAAGTTTTGAACAATATCAGGCATCTAACTTGTAGAGCATGAATTCACAAAAAGTCACTTGCTTGTGGCCTTGTAGGCCCTGGTTAGGCCAGAGCTGCATGCAGCCAGAGCCACCACCCCATGTGGGCTGGAGTCCCTAACCTGCTGGCTAAGTTTTTGTTGCAGCCTCTCCGGAGGAAACTCCATAAGTTTTTTTGGGCTCCAAAAACCATAAGAGTTAGCCACTTTCTTGAGTTCCCTCATGCAGATGGCTGACTCTTTGGCTTCTTCTCCCCTGGAGGGTTGTGGGCTCTCCCTGGATCCCTATCTCAGGCTGCTACCATACTATGTAGCTACCTTGAAACTCACTCGGGCTTCTACTGTTCTACATAGAAGCCATCAGCCACACATCTGAATCATCATTGTCGGCAGATTTGGTGAGACAATTAGGATTTCTTAAAGGGAGAAATTATTTAAAAGAGAATTTTTCCCATATTAAAAAATGGGAAATGTTTTTACAATGGAGGGAATTTGGTATCTGTTTGATAATACAATTGATGGTCTGAAAGTGGAACAATTAAATGAGAGGATAAATAAAATAGATGGGATTATATATATTATTTGTTTGATCATTTCTGTTTTATAATTTAAAAAGTTGGTTAATGTGAGTGCCAAGATAAAAATTTTAGAAAAACTTGTTAAAACAGATCATAGAGAAATTCAGACCCAGAAGGAGGAATTTAAAGGTGAACCAATCTCAGCATTGCATTATACAGGTACAGCAACTGCCAAATGTTCAAGGCTGTGTTAGAGCTGACTGGACTTCTGTGAAAATGTTAGATTTGAGGAGATTCAAAGAAGCTATAGTCTCATATGGTATGCATTCCCCATTTGTGAAGCAAATGTTAAACTCGTGGTCAACATGTAATAGAATTATCCCTCAAGACTGGAGAGATTTGGTTACATCCGTCTTAGAGGCTGGTCCACAATTACAATGGAGGATTTGGAGAAGGATGAGGCTAAGATCATTGAACAACAAAGTAGGATGAGAGGTATGGAAATCTCCAAAGGTCAACTTCTTGGAGAGGGAGATTATTTTAATGTGGAAAGACAATCTCTATCTGATGACCACATCCTGGCTTTATGTTGAATGGCAGTCTTAAATGCTTGGGACTGAATTGAAGAAGTAGGAAAGAAAATTGAGTCATTTCCCAGTTATACAGAACTCAAAAGAAACCTTCACTGATTTCTCATGAAGACTGACTTCATAAGTGAATAGAATGATAACAAATTCAGAAGCTAGACAGAGAGTAATTGAATCTCTGACTTTTGTAAATGCTAAAACACAATACAAAAGATATTAGGCCATTAAAGGCGAGATCAGCATCCTTGAGGAATGGATCCAAGATCCAATTACTATTGAATCTCATGACCATGATGATACTTGGATAGGAGATGTGATTTTCAGAGGTTTGAAGAAAACTAGTAATGTCAGATGTTTTAATTGCAGTAAACAAGATCGCTTAAAAAGGAACTCTGAACAGGGCATTTCTAGAAATAATGTTTTTTCAAGGAATAATCCCAATAGAGCATCCTTTGCTTCTGGATAATGCAGATGATGTGACAAAGGCAGACACTGGACTAACAAATGTAGATTAACAAGGGACAAAGTAATCATTGCCTTTGCCGTTGGGAAATTCCCTGAGGGGCCTCTCTCTTGCCCCACATAAAATTCCATTCAATCCTTTCCTGTAATTGTGGAGAAAACTCCTTCCCAGAGCAATTGACAAACCTAATGCCTATTGTAAAAAACATACAATAGATGATAGAACAGCTATAGAAAAAAATAATGAAAAATTCAGGAAAAACCATAAATCAAAATTGATACAGATTAGATTGGAAACTCCCCAAAGTTAGGGTTGGGGAAGAGTGTTGTGTTTTGTCATTTCAGGATAACAAAAACAACCATCTTGAGGAATTAAAAGACTTTTGGACAAATAAACATCCAAAGAAAAGGGAGAAATACCTGGAAAAAATTACAAAGAAAAGGTATAATCTGACCTACTGTGATCTCTGAATTATGGATGATAGGACCCCAAAACGATGATTCCACATGGACTATGATAGTGACATTAAGCTGACAAAACCACCCAAAGATCATCTACAAACTGCTCAGGGCAATTTTGAGATGGCTAGTTGAGACAATCTAGCCTCACAGACTAGACAAGCAAGAACTTGAGACAAGACTTACACTTTCCCATTATGCAGAGATTGGACAACAAATGATACAGCTACCCCTCCCAGGACTTGACAATTAACCCAAAATTTTTTTTCAGAATTCCCTAAAGATGCCCCCCCCCAACATCAGGAAGTAATTTTAAGAATGTGCACATTCCCAAGAGGTGGGGTGTGTGGTTTTTGGACACTCAATGTGTTAGGGATAGTTGTCATTGTTTATTATGGTTGGTTACAAGTTGTTAATTGTTAATGGTCAGAAAAAATATAAACAAAGGAAATTAGATATAGGGTCCTTGTTTGAAAAAAAAGAAAGGAAAGAAAAAAAGAAGATAAAGATATGATAAGATAAAAGGTAGATTATTGAATATACTCTCATAAAAAGATGTAGAAATGATGGATAAAGGTAGATTGTTGAATCTACTCTGAAAAAAAGGACAGAGATATGATAGGATAAAAAGATAGATTATTGAATCTGCTTTTAAAAAGCAACTAGTTTTAAATATTTTACTTTGGATTGGATTTTTGTATATTGTATACAAATTGTGCATATTGATACAAAAAATTTTGTTATAAAATACTGTATATATATTTCTAAGCTTGTTCAAGGTATTGTACCTATGTAGCTCATTTAACTATGTAATATAAATTTTTAGTCCTTGAAAGTTATAATTACCAACTAATTGGGATATAAAGAAATGCAAGTTAGTAGCTATTACAATCAAACTTGTAAGTCATATTAGGTATATTTTCAAGGACAGAGATATATCTTAGATATATGGGTCATCTTCAATCACTTCAGAAATCTATAGAATATGACATTTAAGATGTTTTAATAACATAAATTTTTTTTATAACTATGAGACATGTCTCCTCCTGGCAGCACTAATCTACTTCAGAGAAGATTGTGTGTATTGAAGAAAATCCAAAGGACTTTACATTCTTTGTGGCAAAAGTTAGCCACTGGGCAAAAAAAATGCCTTTGCCTCAACTGCTGACAGTATGCTTTCCAAAATAGGCAAGCAGGACACAAAAGAATGGACTGTTGAATCTTGCCAAAACATGGGAAGGCCCTTCAGAAAATTCTGCTTCACAAATGAGTCTGTCAGATATGCTAGGACTGTAGGCCAAAGATGGGTGC